GGCAGCATCCTGAACAGCTTCCCAGGAATTTGTAGAAAAAAGAAGGCATGTGTCATCAGCATATGATATTATATGTCCATAGGGAAGCTGAATAGAAGTGAGATCGTTTATATAGACGAGAAATAATGTGGGACCTAGAATGCTGCCTTGGGGCACACCGTAGGTAATTAATGCCTCGTGACTAATGTAATCTCCGATTTTAGTACATTGTGTTCTATCACATAGATAATCTTTAAATAGAGCAAGTTGCTTTCCTCTAATACCACATGATTCCAACTTTTCTATTAGAATGCAGGTAGACACAGTGTCAAACGCCTTGGCGAGATCCAAAAAAATTCCAATAACTTTATTATTTTTGTCCAAATTTTTAACTACGTAATCTGTTAAGTCGTGCACTGCTTCATCAGTGGATCTGCCCTGCCGAAAACCAAACTGGTTAGGGGATAGAAGTTTTTTACTTTCTAAGTAGTTCGTGAGTTGTTTGTTTATAATTCGTTCAATTATTTTCGAAAAACATGGAAGAATTGAGATCGGTCGATAGTTGCCGACATTTTCTCTGTCTCCAGATTTATAAATTGGATGAATAATAGACCGTTTAAAAACTTGAGGAAATACACCTTCATTAAAACAAAGATTACATATATATGTCAATGGCCCAACAATATATTCTTTAATTTTTTTTATAAAACAGTTAGAGATATTGTCCCATCCATTAGCACATTTGTTTTTTAGGCTCATGATGAGTCTGGAAACTTCTTCTTCGTCAGTTTCGAGTATTACAAAGGACGACGTACAGTTCTGTATTGATCTAATTGCTAAAGAACTTGTAACCCTTTCCTTAACTGCAATATTATCAGCAAGTTGTTTACCTACATTTACAAAATAATTATTAATTGAATTGATAGCCTCTTGAGGTTTCTTCGCGCTGTTAAGCAGTTCGGTGGAATCAGTTTTCATTTTCGTGGTATTTGATATCTCTTTAATGGTTTCCCAAAGCTTTTTATTATCTTTACCTGCTTTACTAATTTTATCTCTATAATAAGCCATTTTAACTTTTTTAATCATGGAGTTACAATAATTTCGATATCTAGTATATGTTATTTTTATGATATTATTGTCAGGAAAAGATTTATATTTTTTAAATAAATTATCACGATTTCGTATACATTTTAAAATTCCTACTGTAATCCAGGGTTTAATAGGTCTTAAGCGGTTCGAAATTGTAGCTTTAATTGTATTCGCTATTAATAATTGTTGGAAATATGATACAAAAAGTGTAGCAGCCTCATTTGCGTTAGAACATTTGAATACAAAATCAAAGTTATTTTGTTCTAATTCTAGTTTAATTTTGTCATAATCAATTTTTGTTCGAGTTCTAGATGTTAAATTATTTTTTTGCTTGGTGTTTAAACATAATATCACAGCTTGATGGTCAGTTACCGTCGAATTACACACTACTGTAGTGGCTGCCATAGTTGACCGCATCATAACGTGATCTAAACAAGCATTGAGCCTAGTAGGCATATTATGAGCAGGAAGAAGTCCGTGAAATGCATTTAGATTAAGATACTCAGTTGATCTGTTATCCGTTGTATAATTTGCTATATCTATATTTATATCGCCCATCACAGATAAGTTTTTATGGGAAGACAACGACGTAAGAATTACATTTAAAGATTGTAAAAACAAGTCTACATTTTGAAAGCTAGGCGAACGATAAATTGCAACTATAGCAATACTTTTGTGTTTTATTACCACACAGTTTCCTTCAGAAAACATGGGTTCCGTAATTAAAACCCCAATATCATTTTTGTAATAAATTACGATACCATCATTTTGGTTAGAGGTCTTTATAGACTTGTAATATGTGTAGCCAGGTATTTGTGGTATTATGGAATTACACAATAGCCAACACTCGGTTAAAATAATAATATCACATTGTATTCTAATTTGCGTTAAAAGAACTAGGAAGTCATCTATATTACGTGAGATACTGCGAATGTTTTGTTGTATTATTGTGAGGCATGTACTTTCGTCAATGTTTAATAAATAGAAGTTTTGTGTATCGCATCTCGCCGTATCCGATACAGTAACATTGTCAACATTCTGTGTAATTTCATTTAAATTATTGAATTTTATAAAGAGATAGCTGCTTATTCCAATCAATTGATGCCGATATATTATACATAAGTAATGAATATTGTGTAAAAAATAAACCAAAGTATATTATTATAAGAAAGTAATAACGAATTTTAAACACAAAAAGTCTAAAAATACTAAACAAGGTTAGATGCACTATTATTTTGTTGAAATTCCTAATTTTTTTTATTTTATTAAGTAGTAGGTAAGATGAAAGTGCATGCCTTATATAATTTGCGGGTATAGTAACCAATGGACGCTCTAAGATATACATTAGCAGTTTATATTCCACCAAAAACAATCCAAGACTTACGAATGCAATATACTGCTTAACACAGGGAAATTTATTTATAACCACAATAGGTAATAATACATTTAGAGTAATGAGAAGCATTTCAAACGATTGGGATATTGTGATAATTATTCGTATTGTTTTATGGAAATATTTTTTTATTGGTCTTATAATTATAGTCAAAGTCTGTAAAGCACGACAATAACACATGGATTTATAACGAATACCAATTATTGTCTTCAAATTATTATCGCAAAAAACTAATATTAAGTATGGGAATTCAAATATAATTTGAAAGAAGGTGTAGTATATTTTAATAACACAAAGTACTGTTTTTTTATTCACTCCATCGTAATAAAATGTAAGCATACGTTTGGTTTTGTAAATATAATTAAATTTTTTATTGTCTGTAAATATAATAGGCAGAAGTTTATGTTTTATGCGTAAAAAGTATGAATGTGTGTTGCAATGTAAAATATAATATATAATTATGTTAATAAAAGTAAAATACAGAAAAAGCATGCAAAAGTGTACCATCTTATACTCGTTTATAATAGACCAATCAGAAAATGGAGCAATATTTATTTTGTTCACTGAGCCTAGTCACTTCAGTCTGTTTAAGTCTTCTTCCGAATCGATTTTTATGGACGGCAAGCCATCTATCTTCCTTAGAAAAATTTTTCCGTATGAGATCCAGCATCTGTTATAATTATTAGTCTTAGCAAATTCTTTAGCAAGGTGAAATAACCGCCTAGCTTTGGCAGTCAAAGCTTCGCAGACAAATATTGGCCGTGGTGGTCCGTCGAATTGTAGGTGTTTAGAAGAAAGTTTCATATCCCGGTTTTGTTTATTAAATGATTTTACTGAGCGAATTATTGACTCCTTAATGGAGGTGGTATTCAACCTTGCGATTATGGGGGTATCCTCTTTAAACTTGGATTTTATACGGTAAATGTCACAGATATCGTTGTCCTCGATTGGCTGATTAAGGGCTAAGCCAACATGTTTCAATAATTCACAAAGAGCCTGTTTATTTTCGAATCGCATCTTAGGTACATTTCTAATTTCGATGGTGGAGGCAAGAGCAGAGCGTTCCATAAGTTCTATCTTGTTTTCGAGAAGTGTTATTCGAGACTTACATCCTTCATTCTCCTTATGTAGACTTTCCATTTTTTTTCGAACATTATCATATTTAGCCGATAGAAATTCAATAGATTGCTGAATTGCGTAGTTCTGTTCTCCGATTTTTTTCAGTGTATCACTAAATGTCTGAAATTTGTAGTCTTGTTGCACCTGCATGTCGGCAATCATTTGTTTCATCTCTTGCATCACTGAGTTATCCGATAAATTATCATCAAATTTTCTTTTAATTCGTCGATTATAGTTAACATTTGAGAGCTGCCCTTCATCTTTTTCAATGCTAGTCGTGTTAAGCGCAGAGTCAGATAGATAACGCGTAGGAGAATTTTCTGTTGCGATGCATGGTAGCATGCTAGGAGGAGTCCTTTGAAGTGACATTATACAGAAAGTAATGTTATAGGCCTAAATGAATAGCGGACGGCACTGCAGTGTTACTGTATAGGTGTATTTATATATATCCAATGGATAGTCCTAACAAATATACGTGTAATGACAGTCAGTCAGTCGCACGATATTATTGGCTATCAATTAACTTTAAACGTCTAAACACAGTAAAATATCTCCACACTTCTTATACTGTCGTCAGCTTACTCTCTCACACACAGCGTTTCGCTTCCTTAATCTTCAGCGCTCCTAGTATTATACACTAAGCGATTCGAATGTCACCGCTTACTCGTGCACTTTTTTGCATTAATAATAAATAATGTTGTTTCTCTCACCTAGTAATGGGCGGATCCAAAGTTGACGTATTTCTTCATCGGTTTTGTTGTGGCGCGGCAACAATACGTTTCTATCTATCTCCTTTGCCCTTGCGCTTATAAATATTGCATTATTCACCTTCTTACGTACCAAAGTAATCTTGTTTAACAAGTGACCTCTTCAAGTTTATGCACTTCTATTTTTCTTGTGTAAATAATATTTCACAAACTTTTAATAAAATATGAATTTAAACAATACAGAAAACACGTCAATATCATACGACATCCGAGAGCGAGAGAGATCTCTCGTCAGATCGGTAAGCCGATCCCAAAAGGTGGAGTTTAGTGGGTAAAAGTCTCCACATAACCACGCAGCCGGCTGCGCGGTATGCTTTGAGCCTTCTCCACTTCACTCCCCCGTTACCGGAGGGGTGCCCTTATTTGCAAAAAAAAAAAAATATGTCACGCTTGGCAGACGGGTGGCAAGCGCAGTTTTATTTTGTTATTGTTAAGAAGACATTGTTGCCAATCACCTGTTTTGTTCCCCTTTCTCGTCTCACACATTTCGTCACAGACATTCACAGGATGTAATGCGTTAGTGGATTATCTTACGTCGCAACTACACAACCAATTAATTAATTTCGTACTAACAACTATATATTTAACAGCAGTAAAAATAAATATAATATAAGTTCGTTTCTCATTCGTTGTGGTACGCAGTACATACTTACTTATCGTCTACTTCAATGCTGCAAGGCGTGCCAATGTACGTCTTCAAAAATTCCTCGAGTTTTTCCGGCATGTCCTTATCAGTGTGGTTAAATAAGTCTATCTAAAAAATAAATAATACATGTAATTCTTATATCTGTACATTACTATACTGCGAGTTAGAAGTCAAACGAGGAGAGATATGCAGTTTTCACCCGGCCTTAATTGACGCAACATTTATACGATACGATCAAATGTAGGCTTGGATTCAGTGCAAAACAAAAGAAAGAAATAAAAAATTAAACAAGTGCCTGATAATTTTTTTTAAATTAAAGTTTATCGCTCAACACGAATATTTCGACATTGGTAATAACAAAAAAGATTACAAATATTGGCTCCTACTACGATGCGACCGAGGTGTATAAGTTAGGTACATCAGTCAATAAGCCATGCAATCGTCCATGTATCACACCGAAAATATATTGAAAATTGTAAAATTTTTAAAATCACGGAATTGCGTTGTGAGAACTTACCCCCGCTAGGTGGCAGCACCGTGCATAGGGAGGGTTTTGGCAAAAGTGTTGCGCTAGTGGCTGGATATTTACTATTGGTGCTATTTGTACTTCGCCTGTATCAACCAGGAAAATTTCTGCTAAATTCATGTCTTTCTGAAAAATTTAAATAAACATTTAGAGGTTATACATCCAGGCGAACTTTAATTCTTACAAACGTATGAGTTACTCTTGACTTGTGCCTCATGCAGAAACTTTTTGTATGAGGCCCGTGATTTTCTTCTATTTTCACCTTGGATAATGACACTTGAGCAAATTTTTAATTACGAAACAATTTATATCCACTATTGCTATGTTTTGTAATATTATAAATTAACGGAATGGATTATTTCCATAAATGCTTTATCTGAAAAACTACTACACTACCTAAATGCATAATACAATATCACCCATATCAGATATCCATTATATTCAACGATCATAGAATAGTTATAGAATAGAATAATTTTTATTAAATATAGATTAAAAGTAATTGTTATTGAAAATCATTCCTTACTTTACCACTGGTTGCAAAAATACCTCCGTCCTGACACGAACCAGCAAGAAACTCAGTGAGACTTGCAAAATGTTTACAAAATTAATTTTAGAAATACATTGGAAGCGACCACCACATTCATAAAAAACATACTTATGTAGCCATATAACGAAAATATGACATGATGATTTTGTCTAGTTTTCATAGGTATACTCATTCCGAAGTGCAGTTGTCTCAGCTCTCTAGCTAGATCGTTTGAGCATTGCTCAACAACAATAGATCTGATAAAAAACCTATTCCTCAATTTGAATTTCTTTGGCGTCCTTCCTGCCACAATAGCTTACGACTCAGGCATTAGACTCACCCATTGTTAGCGATGCAATAAATAGTGAATAAATTTGACAAAACTTACACCTTAATATGAAAGATAGATAACATAATATTCATTGTCATTCATTATTACAGCCTATAAAAATCCACTGCTGAACATAGCCTCCCCCATAAATTGTCCTTAGGGGGGATTTTGCCATAGCCGCCACACGAGGCTTGCAGGTTGGCAACTACTGTTAATAATTTTGAGTTCTTGCTAATAAGATTCGATGCTGCTGGCCATTTTCTGTTTCAGTGTTCGTCAATCGCTTTTTACAAAACCCACGGGATGATATGGGGTAGTAGATATTCTCACACAGTTAACAATAATAATGATAATAGATATAATATGAGCATTTACCTCGGTAAGTCTAATGAAAAGACCTCGGTAATAGCAATCACTGTCGTCATCATAGCACGCGCAGTATGTTAAAGACATCACTTGCTCTAAAGTCAGTTCCACAAAATTCGTCCGGTAATATTCAGTCATGTCACTCATAAGGCTGAAAACAAAACATGATTGTTTAATGTGATTGATCTACTACAATGTAAAGTTCAAAGGTGAAATCATAGAGTAGAGTAATATATACAGAAATAGAGAGCCATCTCCTAGGATTTTTTGTCACCCAATATGAATAGTGTCGCCGTCTGGTATCATATCCCTTGAACTAATCTCAATATCATGTTGACTATAGATAGCTGTATGTAGTTATGTATATACAGCTATTATACTATAGATGGTTATATTAATATTTTAAGGGATTAGGGTTCAATTAAAGACGTATTATAGATATCAGTAACCGAAAATCACTTATAAACTATAATAAAACAACAACTTGCTCAGGTAGCCATTATGTCATATAAAGTTGCTACTTGCCAGTTCGAGAATAACCAGAATTGGTGTAGTCGCCATCTAGCGCACCTTTTAGAATTTAATGTTCGAAAGTTTATGCGGATATAGTACAAGATGGCACTAGTGTCTTTGCAAATTATTGAACCCCAACCTAAAGTATGGAAGTGTACCCCCCCTGGGTGAAATGTAAGATGCAAAAAATAAGTTTTATTTATTTATTATAAGTAATATGGCAAAAACTCATTCCCACATTCCTGCTGCCTGGAAATTATGTTCCGTAAAGTCCGCCTAAGTTGATGTCTGGTACCTGGCACTAGCGCCATCTAGTGTCGGGGAACAGAGCGAGGAGAGCTTTCTAGAAAATGCCATGCCTGAACTTTCCACTAACAGCGCTATCTAGTACCGACTAGAAGAACTAAGCTTTCTAGAAAGCCCCACACTCGAACTTTGTGCACCTGGTCGGTCGGGGCCGGTATTTGCTGGAATATTTTTTATTATATAGGATGGGATAACAAACGAGCACACAGTCCACCTGATGGTAAGTGGTTGCTGCGGTAAATAGACATCTACATCTATCCTCGATTACAAATCAAAATGCAGATTTGTTGTCAACCGTGAGGACTAAGATGGAATGCTTCGTTTCCAGTAAAAAGGGTCTCCGGTTCTTTACACTCACCATACGAAACACAGCAGCATCAAGCTACTAATTTACCCTAGTATTTAGTGAGAGCGTGGTCCTTCCCCGGTCGAGCCGACCCGTTCGTGCTCAACTATGCTACTAATATAACTGCAGCATGGCTCTACCGCGTATAAAATACACACATGTGTCTAATATGATAGCAACAAGCAAGCTAACACGAAGAGGCTCACGTCTAGCGGTAACTCTTTACGGGATGTTGAAGAACTTTAGTAATCACGTAGTGGTGGTGTATGAATACTTCTACTACACATCTTCCCGTGGGTGTCGTAAAAGGCGACAGGAGAAAAAAAAACACGGTTGCCAAACCCCCGCCAAGCTACTATGCTAAATATCCCCACTATGAGTAATCAATTGGGTAAGCCTATGTTCTGCAATGGACTTTTGATAATAAGCAATGGTAAGGTAACAGCTAGATGTTAAACTTTACAACTATTACATTTTTACATATTCGGCGCAGATGCTTACGCATCTTCTGGCTGATGATCTATAAGCCTTGATGTAATTTTAATGCAAGTGTACTCTCAAATACAGAGGCACATACTTAATGTATGTATCTATATGAGGGTACAATATATATATGTAACTATATATATGTACCCTCATGTAATATGATGCAGAGGATACAGCCTCAAAAGTACATTTAATCATTGATTTTTTTTTCGAAAAATTATTTCCATCAGCAACCGCATATCCAAAACACTTTTTTTTTTTAGAATTTGCTCTAGATTGCAACTATTACAAGTGTTCAAACTGGACATGGTTGCTTTAAAAGCATCTGTTTGTGTCATGGTGTTAATGATGTCAGTCTAGTGTTGGGCTTACATGGAGTAATGTGAAAACTATGCAGTTAGCCTTTATGTTACTACTATCAACTCTGTGCTAAGTAGTATTTGTTTGCGTGTCTTTTTTTGTTATATTTTGCCATGCACTGAAGCCAAAGGGATACGGCCGTAAACGTGAACAAAATGCTTTAATTGATTAACCCTAAAGACCGATTTACACTTCGACAAGTACAGTAACGGGTTAACTTGCGAACCTAGCGAGTTAAGTGGAAAATCTCGTTTGAAAGGCAATTAGCGAGTTAAGTAGCAAAGTTAACAATTAAGTTGAATGGGATGGCCGGTCGGTCTATTGTTCGGAGAGTTAAGTGCGAAGTGTCCCGCGCATCTCCCATCACCCGTAACTAAACTCACCACCCGTATAAATGAGCGATTTTAGTTCAGTGCCTTTTGTGCAAGTTCACAGGACGCAACGAGTTCGCGTACTACACTCAAAATAAAAAAATTGTACTTTTTTAACTAAAATCGCCACGAAGACATTTGAACGCACTTTACCGTTTAATGTCAACTGACTTGCGAGTAAAGTAGAAAATCTCGTTTGAACGGCAATAAGTGAGTTAAGTAGCAAGTTAACAATTAAGTTGAACAGGATAGACGGCCAGTCTATTTTTCGGCGAATTAAGTACTGGTCACTTGTCGAAGTGTAATTCGGCTAGACTAGTAGTAGACTAAGTGGACAGATGTATTGCGCTATATATAGTAAGCTCGCGCGGTGTCACGGCGACGTAGGCAAATATTTACCGACACTTACAAAAATGACGACAACTTATAATCTACGAAAACGATTTACGTTATTTAAAAAGAAAACCGTTCTATGATAATGCTGTGTTATATTTGATCTAAATTCGAATGCATTTTATAATCTCAAATCATTACATTTTTGGCGAAAAAATATTCATGACGAAAGATGGTTAGTATTGATATAAAAAAAAAAATTAGGACATTTAAAAGAGCTTGGAAAAATGTTTTGTGTTTGTTACGGCCCTCAGTTACCCCGACAAAGGTCGACTGGATTAGGACCCATAGTAACCCAACTCGACGAGTAACTAGAGGGTCGGGCCCAAAATGGCCTATGGATAATTAAATTATAACGGTTAGATACGCAAACACAAAACTTACCGAATTCCAGAAGTAGGGTCTACTACAAGGTGGCGTCAGGGGCAAGTAAATGGTAGTGGGTGTGTAGTGTAGGAAAGTGTATAGTAACCTGACGTCACCGATACAATCAGATAGCAGCACCACGTGCGCCGACCGCTCCACAAGACGCCCACCGCTATCGGAACTCAAGTCCAGCGTCACTTAGCACGAACTATAATCGCGCGCGATCTACACCCGGATCACAAAGTTCAGCGTTCCACACGAAAGCAAAATTCATTCGTACCATTTAAATAATTTATTTTAACTTTAATTAGCAACACAAACCACTCGTCGACACAAATCAATAGCAATCAATGTTTAAATAGTCAATTAAACGCAGAAAAGCCTCGTTGTCACGTATATTAACGATAAATACAACAACATGGAGGCCGCCGACATGCGACGCAATAACTATTATGTAACTCTCGACGTCTAACCGGCACGGCCTTAGCGCTCCAAGATTCCTGCCGACTGGGCTCGCTGGCAGCGCCGTTTGCGCATAGCGAGCGCCCCCCCTCCCGCACAACGTTAAACCGGTTCCTCACCCGGGACGCGCGCCTTGCTAGCTTCAAATGCCACAACTTGGTGTAAACAGTGCTATTTGTAATCTTAAATATATAATTAAAAATCCTACTTATGTAGTTGATGCTTATCATAATAAAAAACAGCCACATATATACATGACTGGAAACTGGCATTTTCCTGTCGCTTCAATAGAGTTTGAAGAAAACACAAAAAAAATTATCTTGCATTTATATGATTCATAAATTGCAATAAAATATTTCTTTTGGTCAAATAACACGCTATAAAACACTATGAACAAAGGAAAGTATTGTGCTTGTTCCCTTGAAACAAAAATAACTAAAATATTATTGAATATACTATTTAATTGATGATAGACTTACTTAAATAAAAGTTCAATGTATGTATCCTATTTACAATTTTTAAGACAATCATCCATCTTCCACAAATAATAATTATTTTTGTCACCAGTAACACCGCATGATTGAAGTAAGGTATCAACTGTTTTCAAAATAGCATTACTCAATGCCAATACACAAGTATTACGCACCAAACAAACAAATGTTTTATTTCCTTACAAAATTAGTATGTCCAGAGTGAGATGGTAATACTAACACAAGCTTTTTTATTTGTCGGTATATGTGCATAGATTTGTACGCATTCCAAGCCAATCATGCACATAAATTCATACGCATTCCATGTTCAGAGGGTAAAGTAATTTAACTTGCCTTAACGACAAACTTAGACACTTTTGCGCAAATCTCAGTATGTTATTAATAATATAACTTGCAATTACCTCCTTTCATAATAAATACTTCAATTTTCATTGCTCACATTATACCTAGTATGATGAATGAACAATTTTAATTCAATCTGAAATAGTTATAATTCAGTACACTTACTTGTATACTTCATTAGTGTTCCCAGTAATCACCCAGAAGGATGGACCATCCACATTCAAGATAACTGCAGGATACTCTTGGTCTGTTTGGAGTATTGATTGTGCTGGCAAGTTGTAAGTCTCTATTTTGCTTAGAGTATCTGATAACAAAATGTCATTATTATAGTGAGATTGATGGTCAAATTATTAAAATACTAATCAATCTTAAGATGTTGTTAAGTCTTGTGGTGTCACCGTCAGTAACTTAAAGTGATGGACAGCACAAGACTTAAAGAAATTTAAAAAATTTTCAAAGACCATGTAATATGTTGCTTTTTATCGCCAAATAACACTTAAATATATAAAAAGTAAGAACCAACTTCAAAGGACTAAAAATAATAAAATAATTTCCACATAACAGCTTCTAAAGTTAGTGTTAAGAATGTTATATAGAACATTTATATCCCTGATTTCACTAAAGGGAAACTTATTTTTACTCACATCACTACACTTTCATAGTGGCAGGTGGTGCCTTTTAAAATTTAAGACCATTGAATAAAACTATATTTACGGATTTTATCGCGCCAATTAACTACTTTTACTAATTTTTAATTCTCGACGTTTCGGGTGCACAAGGGATCTGTGACAGAAAACATCTGGCCGCCAAGCTTTAGCACGTCAAGCAAGTATTGCAAGACTATAAGCTTCGGGTCCCGCGCCTACGTTACAGTGACCGAGTGAAGCCGACCACAGTCGAGCGTTTGCCCGCTGTACCACCGTATGTCAGAGGAGTCACAGACAAGGTTGGCTACATCTTGAAGCGAGCTTCTATTAAAACATACTACAAGCCGCTGAAGAAGATTAGCCAATTTTTACCATCCATCAAGTGTAATATCCCTCTACAAGATGCAGGAGTGTACAAGTTAGATTGTGAATGTGCTCTCTCTTACGTAGGTCAAACAAAAAGATCCATAAAAACCCGCGTGAAAGAACATATAGCTGAAGTGAAGCACCGACGCTCTGGGAAGTCTGCAGTCTGTGAAAATGTTTAAGATCGTTCCCACCATTACATCAGATTTGATGAACCACAAATTGTCAGTAAGGAACACCGATTCCTACCAAGGATGATACATGAAGCTATTGAAATTAAAAAACATCCTAATTTCAATAGAGAAGATGGATGGGTGCTGCCATCTACTTGGGATCCTATAATTAACAAAATTAAACCCAAACCCAAGCATACCACTGCAAGACTTCAAGATAGCTTAAAGTATCCAATCTCGGACCGAAAATTAATATTACAAAATTGTAGGTAGCTGAGCTAACTATGACATTGGGACTTCAAACATCTCAGTCCCTCTGTGACCATGGATGCTGTAAAGCACCCGAAACGTCGGGAATTAAAAATAAGTAGAAGTAGTTAATTAAAAGCAATAAAATCCGTAAATACAGTTTTATTCAATGTGTAGTGTTCACGTAAATTTATGAAATCTTTAACACATCACTTTTTTTACATAACATAATGGATTTCTTTGATACTATGCGTCAATGCTTGATTATATTATATTATATCATATATATATATATATATATATATATATATATATATATATATATATATATATATATATAATATATATATATATCAACATTTCAATGTTAACAACTTGGTTTACCTATAATACTGTTAACAATCAAATGACCAGCTAGGAATCTACGTTTAGAGTGAGAGGTAGACTAAGAATTGCAAATTCTCAACTAGATACAGAGGTTTGAACTCACCATTGATTTTAGGTGGGGATTTGTTTATATCCTCTACCATTTGACATTGCACCTCCTTCTCCAAAGTTTTATTTTTGACGTGAGGCACACTTTCTGACGAGCTTGATGTACTCGAAAATGCAATCAGTACCTGCTCTTCCTTTGGTACTTTCTTATGAATTGGTTTTTCTGATGGGCATTGATTAGGACAAGCCCGAGATGTGGATGGTGCTGGTTCTGTTAAGGCATCCATAAGGTTAAATGTTCCATAGGTTATTGGAGCTAGTAATGCTCTTGTAGATGTGTCCTGAACAGGAGCGAGTTCCGTACTGTTAGTTGCTTCTGTAACAGTGTGTGATCATTAAAAGCAAAGAATTTCCTATGCTGTTTTATTATGTGTAGGTGAATCCCCGTGTTTGAGATTTGATGAATTTTTCAGACATGTATTTAAATTTAAAATTGGGACATATGAACTAGAGATGGGCCGAATATTTGTTTTATATTCGTTATTTGGCATATTCTTCAGGTTTACCGAATATTCGGCTAAATCACCGAATATTCGTTAAAGTGTTACACTCAAAGTGTGCCCTGTATTGAAATGTATGAATTGAGCAATGCCATGTCTTTCATAATTTTACTGTTGAAAGTATATTTTATTTATGGGTTAAATCTACTTGTATAGCATTATGTTATTGTGACGACATTGTACAGTATTGACAGTAAGGAGATTGACAAAATGTTTTGGAATCAAACAAAGAAACATTACATTACATTAGTACATTTCACTTTACTTTGGTCATCAGTTTCTCTAAAATAAGTCCAAATAGTAGATCTCCTGCCACTCATTTTTACCACATACTTATCAAATTTCACTAAGAATAACACAACAAAATACTTCTTTTTCTCACAAAAATAGTGAAAACGTAAGCAGGTGCCGGCAATTTGCTCAGTACCTATATAATAATGTAGACTTAGCTCAGTATAACATGTCAGGTATGGCGCGGAAACGAAGGGCAGAGTCCGGCGCGCTTTACGGTAACAGTTTCTAAATAAATTTGTAAGGTAACCGAGATGAACCTGCCGAATAACGTTTGGCCGAATATTCGGTTCGGTCAAAGTTTTACCGAACTTTCGCTCGAATATTCGTATTCGGTGAAATCCATATTCGGCCCATCTCTAATATAAACTAATATAGCATATATAACACACATTCTACATTGTAGAGCCACGTTGCAGCTTTATTATGGTTGTAGTACATATGGGTTGGCTCAACCGGGGAGGAACCACACTCTCACACAATACTAGCGTAAAATAGCAGCTTAATGCTGCTGTGTTTCATATGGTGAGTGTAGAGAACCAGAGACCTATTTTACTGGAAGCGAGGCATTCCATCTTAGTCTTCAGCGGTGACAACACATCTGCCTTTTGATTCTTAATAGAGGTTAAATGTAGGTGTTTACGGGCCACAGCTTCCATTTACCATCAGGTTGACTGTGTGCTCGTTTGTCAGCCTTATTCTATAAAAAAAAAACACTATAATATGTAATGATTAAACAAGCCTAGCCAGTTTAATCGCATTTTTATTCCATAAAATTTTTTAAGGCTGAAGGAAAATGTAGTTTTAACATGACCACATTTTACTCACCAGACTGCCTGAAAGCGTAAGTGATACATATAATATTTTTTTATGATCATATAGCTTAAAATGTGCTATAACCTAAAAATAGGAAAATTTTATTACCTCTAAAGCAAATACCAATTGCAATGTTATTGTGTGCAACAGGAATGGAAAAGGTTTGGTAAAAGCACAGTCAGTAAAAGGAAGAACAAGTAAATAGATGAACACAATAAAGATATTAATAGTTACTTTGTAACCTTCTGCTCAATTAAATGATGAAGAGGAGGGAGGTGCGGAAAGTTGCAAAGTAACTATCAATATCTTTATTATAATGGATTTCCGCAAAGTAACACCTGATTCTATCTCTGATCTGATCTGATGATTCTATCAATTATCTATGAACATAGTTTTTAATGAATATGAATATATTGCCTGTTTTTTAATATCTATTTTTCAAAATCTTCATATGCCCCTACCATTGCCTATTATTTTTCATTGTCTATTATTTATCTATAAGTCTAGAGAGTTCTCATGGCTGGTAGTTGGCAAATAATGATATTTTTTCAGATCTTTTTGAAAAATTAAAAAGTATTTAATGTTTCAAAAAAAAATTATTTGAATTGTATTCCAGCAAAACTATAAGAAATATATAAACTATAAATTATGCAAAAATTTACTAGGTTAAAACTATTACTATTTTGGGATTAAGCTGTGTATGCCAGTAGTGCATACCGGTCTACTTAATATACACAAATTTGAATTGTACTAAAAACTGATACTGTGGGGAGTGGGACTGTGATATGGCAGGGTGTAGGACTGTACGATAATTTAAGTTTTTAGTTTTAGTTTTTTTTTATTATAGATTTTGTAAATTTAAAGTTATGTAAATAGTAAAAATAAAAAACCTTAATCAAACTAAAACTTTAACTTTAGACATTGTCATGTCAAAAATATACACAGAAGTGTTAATTATTGGCCTTTAGGGAGTAACACATTTTAAAGTTTTAAAACTTACAACATCAAAAAATCGCAGGGACCATGGAGATCTAATCGAAACCTTTAAGATCTGAAGTGGACATTACGATGTTGAGGAGTTTGATAAATTTTTATTCGTAATGAAATCACTCACCTCAGGGGCCACCACCTTAAGCTATGTACCAGCTTTTCAAACAACAACCCTCACAAGCACTTCATTTGTAACCGGGTAGTCACAGAGTGGAATAAACTGCCAGAGAACATGGTTTCAGCCCAAAATGTGAACCAATTCAAAAATAGATTAGATAATCATTTTTCTGGACTGCAATAGGAGTAACTAATGGACATAGGATACAGGTATTATCGTTCCTAATAGCTCCCTGTGCAGGGCATGCATGGGAGAGGAGAGGAAGAAACAGCAGCTCACGTGTTGCTGACATGTCCAGAAGTCGCTTCATACAGGGCTAAACATCTCGGCACCCTGGGATCGCTTCCCCTGAAGTTGCTTGCAACATCAAAGGACTGTTGAATTTCTTCGGGGAAATATCATGGCTCGAATAACCACATTATTGCTGCCCACACGCAAAATACGCGCTTAGACGTGGAGATGCGGAAAATAGCCCGTCATAAACTAAACAGGTATTATCAGTCGCAACTGACTGCCTGCTGTGTAATAATATTAATAATATGGTATTTTGATAATGGGTGTCTTTAAACAGGCTGATTATAACACCAACGCAATACTAACAAAATAGTTACAAGCAGAAAGGTCATCTAACACATTTACTATTATATGCTTTACACTATATTGTTACTGATAATAACACTGAAGTAGATATATTGCTGTTAACAATATAATGTGGGGCAAAGAAGAATACCAGCTGGAGTAGGAATAATCATAAGTGTGCCAAAGCTGCATATTATCTGTAGATGTGACAGGATTTTAGAGTCAGTTCTAATATTGTTTAAATTGAAAAAAATATTTAATCAATGAATATTAATTTAACATTAACAATTACAATAATGTAATTATTTATATAAAAAATTTCAAGCTACAGGACATGTATTATACAAGGTTGGTTTTAGTATCCTGCGGCATCTACTAATTCTGCTTCTAACTGTCTTATTGGTCTAATCAACGTAAATGTGACTGTGTGTTTATCATGTGATCCCAGGTTCAAGTCCTAGGTTAGATCACTATCAAAAATTAGGTTTTCTGGCAAAAATTCACAGTGGCAGCCAAGAAAGCACACAAAGCTGTCTGATCTCTCAAAAGTCTCAAAAGATTTTCAGTCATTTCAATTGCTATTTTGGTCTATAAATGTTTCTAGGAATGCGGTGATCGCCACCATACTGGCCCTATTAGACTTCATTTAAAAATTGTATAAATAAAATTATTTTAATGTGAAGTATGTTTTAAAAAAAGTTGCGCTGGGTTTCTTGCTGGTTCTTTCTAACATAGAGGTATTTTCCGAACCAGTGGTAAATAAAAGAATGCCTTTCAATAAGCATTATGTAATAATCTATATTGATTAAACATCATTCTATTCCGTTTTTGTAGAATTATGTCACATTGTTTTCATTGATAATAATATTTAAAACTAGGTGTAGTAAAGTATGAATAATAACTTGGTACACTCTTTATCACAACTTAAAATGCATTTACAGTATTTGAATTAAGGTTAACACAGCTTCTTACATTTAAATAGGACAAACTGGTTTTAATGTATAATATTACATTATATTGTAATATTTGGAATTATTATTTATCTACTACAGTGTAAATATATGTAATATAAAGTATATTTACCCAATTTATTGATGGCTAGATTGAAGTCAGTAATTAGGTAGGTGAACTCATCAAGCTGCTTCATACAATTTAGGAATCTCTCTTTCAGTTCCCCTGGTTCACAGTTCAGTTGCTGAACAAAGCCATGTGCCTATAAATGAAATTGTTTTCGTGTAATATAATTCATATAAATCTAAACTTTAGCTCAAGAAATCATCATAATAATAGCTGTTATCATAAAAAAATAAATAATCAGTGCTGGATTGGACATTTCCCAATTTGATAAAGACTTGCTGAAATGGTCATTAATGGAAATTGCATCAAACATTGCATGCATCTTAGCTTACTGATCCCAGTTAAAGAGATTATGGAACATTATGGGTCAAAATAATTTATCACGGAATCATAGGGCGTGGGTTTGAACTCAGCCAAATTCAAGCCGAAACAAAACCGACTATTATACAGTAAAAGTTGTTGATTTTCTGGTCTGGTGCTTTAGTAACAGGGGTCGGCTTTAGTAATCTGCTGCACGATTTAAGTGATCATTTTAGCTTTAGTTGATAGGTAATGATGCTATTGATTACCATCTAGCTGCTTTTTATGCCGGAAATCCTTAGTTTTCGAGATATCGATAATTTTAGTTTTGAGGTTATGTCCATTTAAAAATGATACGAAACGAAATAACAACATAATTATTTGATCATTTTAGCTTTAGTTGACAGGCAATGACACTATTAATTATCATCTAGCTGTTTTTTATGCCGGAAATCTTTAGTTTTCGAGATATCGACAATTATAGTTTTGAGGTTATATCCATTTAAAAATGATACGAATACGAAATAAGAATATAATTATTACAAAGAGATAGCAATAGAGCATGGTCTGTACTCTTAAAAAAAATTACTGCCGGGAGACAGTCGTCATTTACCAAATAGAGCAACAAGAGGCCATCGGCAAGATTGGTGGCCCAGGAAAAGTAGTCCAAATAGACGAGTCAAAATTTGGAAAACGGAAATATAATAAAGGTAATTTGATTTTCTTATATTACAGACTGAAACAATATATTTATAATAATAATATAATGATAATTAAATTTATTTCAGACCCACATATAGTCCATAATATGTTAGTAAATTAGCTTAACCTATGTTAGTCTTAAATTATTACACATTATGTATTTTAAAGTTTACTTTTGAACCCAAATTATCTTTTAATACCTTTTATTAAATATATTTGAATACCTTTTAAAGCCAAAATATCTGGAAGAAATCAGTTTCAGAGTGATAAGACAGCCTGTTGTACATATTCTGCTATAAAATTTAGTACTTTTGTATTTGTTTTTTTTTTTTTGTAATTTTGTACTATTGGGTTTTGGTGTACACTGTACAATATAGAGTAAATAAATAAATAAATATCTTGAATATTTACTAACTCTAAATTGTTTATTGTTGATTTTAGGAAGGCAGATTGAGGGCCACTGGATCCTCGGCCTCATTGAGGATGGAAGTGAGGATTTACGACTAGAGGTGTGCCCTGAAAACATCAGGTTAGCGGACATACTAGTGCCCCTAATTAAAAAACATGTGGTTGAGGGCACCACAATCCATACCGACTTCTGGAGGGCTTATGATTGTTTGGGGCAACATGGGTACATTAAGAAGAAGCGCACTCAAGTGATGACGTGCGGAGAACCAACATTTATTAACCAGCTTGGTCGACTGGCTACCCTCGAGGCTGCTGACCCCAACATGGGTACATTCACAAGAAGGTGAACCATTCAGATCCTGAGAACCCATTTGTTGCCCCTGATGGCACTCATACTCAAAGAATCGAATCGCAATGGCGGGTGGTCAAAAGATTTTTCAGTAAATACAATTATAACCACCTGGAAAACTTTTCAGACATTATTATAGAATATTTGTGGAGAAGGTCAGTGCAAAGAAAAAACAAAGGATCCTTTTATGGAACTAATTAAAGTAATTAACCAAGTATATAAATAAATGTTTTTATAATATTATATTTGGTCATTTCTTTTGATCAAACTCTAGTACCAGAAGGTATAAATCACAAAACCGAATCTGTCAACCCCAACTTCCATGTGGTCTTTCCGCTCTTACCCCTAGAGTGTATATGAAAATCCGGAAGCGCGGAGGGAATGCAGCCCTCGCCCGCTGTAACTAAGCGTAGGCAGCGTACGAGCCGTAGCGGCTGAGGCTGGTCGCCGAAGGCGACCAAACAGCGCGAAGCTGCGCAGGTGAGCTAGGTGCCTGTGCTTAGTTACGCAAAGGGGCGAAAGGGCTGCACTTCCCGCAGCGCTGGAGCAGAAGCAGAGTCAAAATAGTGTTAATTCCCACCGTTTTTCCCACCCTAAATACTCCCACATTCCCACCGGGACCCGAATGTGAGTTTTTCGTCGCCGGACGCCCTTTTTTTATTAAACGAAAGCGAATTTTCCTTAAATGTAACAAAACTTTAAAAATTCATAAAAAAAAAAGGGGGGGTTTCCGGCACTTTTTCCTTTCAGGGGGAGGTTCCGCCCCCCCCCCCCCCCCCTCCCCCACCCACTCGGCGACCATATATTCATGCAGCAGATTACTAAAGAAAACCCAGTAACAGTTCCATGTCTACATTACCTCGGCCCAGCTCCAAATTTTCTACTATAGACGACATATAAAGTATGGGTAGATTGGATTAGGAACGGACTTACAATAGAGGTTCGGGCTATAAAAAATAGAAAGTAGGTAAACAAGACGTACTATCATTTTTAACTTTTTCATGTTGTCAATCGCGTGATCACATTTACTAGAGAAAACATTAATCCTTGCTTCCATCTCATTTCGTCTATGCAATGCTAAGGTCGCAAGATCCACGAAGCTCCTGAAACATGAAAAAATACCCTCGAAGCTATACGAAAAAACAAAAGTAAATATAACATTATAATTCAAAGAAAAAGATTACTTACATATTGAGTTTTCAATAGACAGCTTTAACTTGTAACTCTTCGAATTTATTTAATTTGTTTCACGGTTGTATAAAGTAATTCAAATACTGAAAGATAAAAGAAATGTAAAGTTAACCCAACTCACAACCAAAACACTTCACTTCACCAAGTTGTTTTTTGTGGTTTTTTGAACTATAGATAATTTTGAAAATAGTGAATTTTGATTGACGATCCTCTATGGACGTCTATGGATGCATTCTATAACAAGCAATAATAAATAAATAATAGTCTATGGAACTGTACGGATTATTGCTATCATGGAGGATAAAGAACAGGAGAACGATCGCTACGTATAAGACGATCGCCGTAGAAAAGAGTGTTCCAGCAATATATATGGACATAATAAGTCAGGCACTGCGATCGCTAAGTTCGTCAATAAAAAGTCATTTTCAGTATATTTTTCCGATCAGATGCTAAACCACTTGCACATCCACGCACAATAAAATATTTCTCCATTTTTTAATGTTTCTTTTTGTCATAAATTACAAAATTACGGAGCATGAAAATTTTCTCACAAATGCCGCCGTGAAAATTTGTACATTATTCAACTAACTTCATCTACTTGTACTCATAAACAGCTAACTTCGCAGTCACTACTCACCGACGTCAGCGCCGCTATAAATTCTACAATTTTCAAGAACAGGGGGGCTATGCTTTATTACGTAGTGATCGTTCTCCTGTTCTCCAACCTTCATGGCTCAGAGAATCCTGACAGGTCGAGATCAAACAGACGATGTAACTTTGAAGTAGCGTAGCATTTCCGATTAAAAAAAATATATATTTTAATTCATCATTCCAATTAGACCATTATGTAAAGTACATTGTGGTATGTAACTTTTGAATTTATTAAAATTTTAATAATGGAGAAACCGATTTTATTTACAATGTTTAATGTTTATATTTCTAATCCATATTACGCTGTTACAAGGATAACTCAACCGTACGTTTTTGTAGTGATGCACCAAAAATAACGGGCAATAGTAACTTTGCCTATCATATTTCTAAGTGACGCACTAAAAATGACGGGAAAAACAAAAGAAATCATATGACGGACAATAGTAACGTTGCCTGACATATTTTAATACATATTAGTTTTTATTTCTAATAATTTGAAAATATAACAGAACATAAATGAAAAATAAAATCTCGGTTTAATTTTTTTGATAGGGGTTGGCAACACTGATGATGGGCCGTTATTTTGTAACTAAAAGGTCTAAAAGTTCTCTAGTTGTATATAAATTGTATATAATAAATTGACATTAGCGCCAGTTTATACAAAGGTACTCTGTGATTAGCGCTGAATTGGACTTCACGATTTGTCTTGTGTTTTTGGTGCATAGCAATGCCGAAACGTGGAAAAACCATTAAAAGTGAAAGCCGTGAGCTAATAATTAAGTTAGAAGATTACTTTAAACGAGAAAAGCAAAATGGCGGACCCTTGTTGCCTCTCGAACAAGTACAAGAGCGCGTCTCTCAGGCGCTTGGAGTGAGCACAGGGACGATAACGAAAATTAATAAAGAAAAGTTCGGACCAACTGGCATGGAAGAAAATGTTTTACGAACGTCGAAGAAAAACCGCAGAACAAAACCTGTGACAAATATCGATACCTTTGACGCCGATGCAATAAGGAATCTTATATATGGCTACTATTTGAGAAATGAGTACCTGAACAGAACACATCGAACTATATTCCTAACGTATAGAAGAGACATCCCGAACCAAAAGTTTGCTTCATATTGGTAAGAGTTGGAACTAAAGTTCGTTGCAGCGCTAAAATAATAGTTACGTCGTCTAACCAAATTATTAAAACACGCAGCGCTAGTTTGCATTAGGGATTAGTTTTCTCGCGACCAAAACGTCATAAGCGCCAGGGATTTCATGGCGCTTACGCTTATCGTTCAACGTAGTGTACAACAAGTCGCTCCTATAGATTTTACAACGCAGAAGTGACACAACTTTTGTACCTACTGCAAAATCATACTCTGCCTTGTCATTTTAGATAAATAAAAGAAGTGAAATAAAGTTAGTTTTAAAGCCATAAATATAAACTCCATATGTATATTAATAAATATGTATTTAATACACATGCATGTGTCTCTGCTAGCTAAACCTGGTGACAAAATATAAAATGGCTTGTATTGAAGAAGGTGTTGTAACTGTATTTGCCACCCTCATTCTTATAAATCTGATACAGATTTCTTAAACTATCTACCGGATATCTGATTTGCATTTTTTTTCTTTACTGTTCCCGTTTCTTTCTTACCAGCCGTGCTTCTACTTATGTTGTCTCTATTGTTAAAAGCTTCCATTTCCAACACTATTTTTTTGTTCGAAAGCACCCGTTTGCTCTTGCTTACGGTTCTTATTTTGCCTTTTAATCCTAAAAGTTTGTTACTAGAATCATTTTTCATGCTTTTGTTTAATTTTAGACCTATTTTTTGATTAGTTGTTTATTCGCCGTTTTTTTACAATCAGAATATGTTTCACGCAGTGATAGCTCTAATAATTCTTGCCGTGCTCTAAGTTTATCGTTTTCAGCCTTCAACATCATCATCTCTTGTTCATGTTTACCTTTTCCTGGTAAAGTTTCTTCCTCACATTATTTAGTTTAGTTTTGTATTCCTAAATTTTTTTCTTATATGTCTTTAAGTTTCTGCTTAAGTTACGGTATTTGACTGAAAATGATTTAGGAACTGTACTTAAATTTGTGTGAATAGTTTGGGGTACTGTGTTCTGTTGAAGTGCTTTCTTTCTTTCTTTTTGCTCTTTTTTTGTTGCCTCTATTTTTTCTCTTTTCATTTTTTTCTTCATTGGTAAGCTCGTTTATCTTTTTTTGGGTCTTTTTTAGCCTTTTTAACTCTTTCTTTTTATGTTGCTCATACTTTTCCGGGTTCTGTTTAATTTTTTCTCTATATTTTTTAGCTCGCTCAGCAGCAGTCAACGCCATTCTTCAGGTCTGTAATAATGTGAATAATCCAATATCTAGACGATGAAATAAAAACGAAACTTAATATACATATAAAAATTAAACATTAAAAAAATGTCATTGTAACAACGCCAAAAGCTTTAAATCAAAGAGTTTTAAACGTTTTAATGTCTACTTACCGATGAAACGTAAACCATCACTTTTTTTTGATGTTCTGCAGTGTTTACTGCAGTCTTTAAGAACACGACCAGGCATTTTAAAGTTGTTATTTATGCAAAGCGAACACGACTCGTCTGTGCGGGCGTTGGACACTCACTAAACAGTTGCGGTACAGTAGACCGCAATGCATGGTGCAAAATCGTGCAAGGCGATGTCTTCTCTATACGTAGTAGTAATACCTCAATGACGGAACAGCGCTTTTAGGATCCTTAAATGTAGCTGGTTTGTTTATGGGAGGTAAAACAGCCTTATCCAAAGTTTTAAGATGAATTGGGTTTGAATATAAAAAAACTGATAGGAGAAAAGTTCTTCTGGAGCGATATGATATTATTTTAAAGAGAGTATCTTTTTTAAGAGAAGAAAGGAAAATTGATGACTGGAACAATGTAGATTTCATTGACGAGATATGACTAAATGTCAATCACACGGTGTCTCAGTCTTGGACAGACGGCACAGCAGCATCGACGTTGAAAGTACCGATTGGTAAAGGGGCCCGGCTCATTATATGTCACGCCGGTACTACAAAGTACGGTTTTCTGGAAAATGGCTAACTTGCATTTGAGTCAAAAACAACCACTGATTACCACGAAGAAATAAATGCTGCTACATTTAAAGAGTGGTTTCAGCACGTGCTACTGCCCGGCCTGCCAGAGCCTTCAGTAATATTTATGAATAATGCCCCTTACCATTCAGTACAACTGCAAAAAGCACCGACCCAAGTCAACAAAAAAAAAAAAAAAAGATTTGGTGGCTTGGCTACAAGAAAATGGTATTGATGCAAACATGCAAATGCTAAGAGCAGAATTCATGAAATTAGTTAAAGAAAATAAGCTTTAAAAAGTAAGATACGAAATCGATGAACTGTCTTTGGAATATCGTCATCGCGTTCTGAGAATTCCTCCATACCACTGCCAGTATAACGCAATTGAGCTGATCTGGGCTCAAATCAAAGGGTATGCAGCTTGCCACAAAACTGTACCACCATTCGGCACAAAAAAGATGATGGGCCTTTTGAAACAAGCCTGCGAAAAAGTCACAAGAGATGACTGGGCGAAGGTCGTGGATAAAACTAAAAAAACTTATATTTGAAGATTTTGAGAGAGACATAAGAATTGATACTCAGATTGATCATGACTTGATAATTTAGGTTGGATAAGAAGATAGCGACGGCAGTTCCTCAAGCGAATCTGGATCGAATTAAATGAAAACACATTAAAATAAATTTTAGATTTAATTAAGTTTTTGTTGTATTATTTCGAGCAGTAAAGTAATGTAACATACTTACTTAATTTTTTTTATTACCTAGTAACTATAATTAACGAGGTCTTGTCAAGACGAGTTATAAAAACGAAGCTGAAGTCAAAATGTGTAATGTGATAATAAACCTCTTTCTCCGTACCCGTTTCGTTTCGAAACGGCCTCTACCAATGTACCTACTCTGTGACACATTTTGATAGCAGCTTCGTTTTTTTATGCCTGTCTTTAAAAAGCCTCATTTACATATTATTTCCCGAGTTGCGGATAAAAGTTAATAAAAACGTTACTAACGTAACCGTTATCTTATCGTTGTTAACGATATCATTACGATAAAGATAACGTTATTTTTTTCCATAACTAGTCTTCCCAAAAA